TTTTTTTGTTGGGTTATACTCTGTTACTATTATAATTTATTTGATGTTCTATTTGTCCCATATTCGGCCAGTGGGAACTTTTTCAAACTGTCTTCCGTGTTATTTTTTTTTTTTCCACATGTCCTCATCATTCTCTGAACTCTTTCTGACTTCCTGGCACAACAAGGTTTCCAGGATCCATCACGTCTGTAGTGGGTTGAACAGTGGCCCGCAGAAAGGTGTGTCCATGTCCTAACCTCCAGAACCTGTGAATGTGACCTTCTTTGGAAAAGGGCCTGTGCAGATGTGACGAAGTTAAGGATCTTGAGATAAGGAAATCATCCTGGATGATGCAGTGGGCCTTCAATCCAGCGACAGCTGTCCTTACAAGAGATAGAAGAGGAGGAAACAGAGACACAGAGAAGCTCATATGAAACTTGAGGCCGAGATTGAAGCGATGCAGATGCGGCCACAGGGATGTCTGGAGGCACCAGAAGGAGGAAGAAGCCAGGAAGGCTCCTCCCCTAGAACCTCAGAGGGAGCACGGCCCTGCCGACACTTCAACTCCGGACTTCTGGCCTCCAGAACCTTAGAGGATAAATTTCTGTTGTTTCAAGCCACCAAGTTTGGGAGAATTTGTTACCGTAGCCTCAGGAAAGGAATACTATGTCCGTTGCTTGCTCTGGCCCTAGAACTAGCTATTTCTCTAGGAGTACTGGTTCCTCTTAGTGTAGAATGGTGTTTAGAAATCAAGATCTGGGTGCTAGGTGTGCTGATTATTACATATTTTTAAGTGAAAACATGTTATAAAAGTACATTTTAGGGGCAAATTTGTGCATGCAAAGAATCTGGATGTGCATGTGCTAAGATTGCCCACAGTGGCTATCGCTGATAGATTGGGCTTGTTCGCATTTTTTTGTTGTTGTTGTTTCTCTTTTTGCTTGTCTCAGTTTTCTTTTCCCCTCCTCCTCCTCCTCCTTTTCTTCCTCCTCTTCCTAATCCACTTTCTCCTTCTTCTTCTATTTTAGGAGGGGAGGCCAAGGAGTACAATTTGTTTTTGTAATAAGAAAAATAACTAGAAACTTTATATTTGAATATAAAAAACAAGGTTTATAATTAAACTCTTTTTTTTCCCCCTTCCTATGCACAGGGTAACTCAAACAGTATGCTTCTTAGGATAAATTGAGTCTTTCTTTTAACTTAAAAAAATTGTTTTTGAAGCTTGCCTAGCCAGGAAATCATGCTGCTTGTTTTATCTGTTAATTGCTTGAATCTGAGGATATATCTCTTTCGATTGCTAACTGATATCGCTGACATTTTCCCAGTTGGTTTATTGATTCACTAAAAGAGAAATCATTCTTCTATGCTAGGCAATGTGGATAGTGGGGAAAAAAAAGTAGAAAACAAAATCCCTGGTCTTTTTTATCCTCTCAATGTCTAATAAAAAATTGTCAACATTTCCCATTGTGTCAAGTTGAGCTGGCTCAAAACTAGCTAAATCTCTAACCCAACTAAAGCAATCTATGGCTGTTTGAACTTCCACTTTGCAGATACTGGTGGAATGCATATGGTTGGTTGTAACGGACCGGTTTTAGAAAGCTGGCATGTAACATGTGAATCCTTTGTGATGTTGTTACACTAACACAGCTCTGTAATCTTAGCTGCATGGGTTGCTTGAAATCTTTGTTTCCTT